AATCTCGTTGAATTTGGAGCTAAGGTGAGTATAATTTTACACAAAGAGGACAATGTGGAACTGTGTTTCCAGTACATTTTTTACATGTACTTGTGTAATGCATGCAAAAATCTGTTGCTATTTTCTCATGCTGAACCTCTGACTTTTTCTCTTACCCCACTTTGACCTTGGATTTATCACTCCTTAGTTTGGTGTTTTCTGTGGAAGAGCACCTCAAACTCTATCTGTATTCACTGTCACACTGCTAGACATAATTAATGGTGTAAGTCAAGTGTACATATTGCACTAAAAAGCCCAAGCTTTCAATAAGGTATCAATTATAAGACTAAGAGAATGCCAGCATTAACTGGTCTATCTCAGTTCCCAGGCTGAAACATTGCTAAAAAGAAATTTGTTGATGTACGCATAATTAACATGACCGCAGGCTGGCATTACAGTTATTTCTCTGACACACAGAACTTGGAATGTAAGAGTTAATGAAAAAAAAAAAAACAAGGGGGACACTTATTCCTGATCATGCCTCTGAAAGTAGAGCATCTGTTCATTGCAGCCAGGTATTGAGAGACACTCATCTTAATGCAAATTCATATTGGTATCCATGTGTAAGAAAAATTCTGAATCAGAGATTCTCAATCTTCTGGATACAAGAAAATACTGAATTCTGTATTCTTTTGTCTGGTTGCACACCAGACATTAGAAATTCTCTTGAAAAAAGATAACATTATTCCAGTTTACATACTTGTTTTGCAGTGTCATGTGCCTGACTGCGCTGTGTTCCCTTCAGATGTGACAATTATCTTGGCATTACTTTGTTAATGAATGCTCTTTAAAATTACCAGGAGCCATATATGGAAGGGGTAAATCCATTCATCAAGAGCAACAAACATCGCATGATCATGTTCTTGGATGAACTTGGGGTAAGTGGTTAAAAAAATATTTATTGAAGTTACATAGCAGCATTATAAATTAAAATTCTTTACACTTCTTATTAAATAGCTCAAAAGTGCATTAATTTTGAATGCTTATAACTGAATACATTTTTTAATGCACGTTTAGAGACTACAGATTGCTTGTCTGTTACATGGAATTAAAACCATCAAATATCTTCCTAGACTTTATTAATTTAGTGCCTCTGTAAATGTGAGAAGCTCAAAATAGATTTTATAGCCATGAGACTAGAAATTTTGGCCAGCAATACAAACCTTTAAAAACATGTTTTAAAACAAAAATTTTTATGTCTAATTTGTCACATGGTTTTGACCAGAGATGGAAATTTAATTTTTGGTTTAAAAATTACTAGGTCGAATCTTGGTTAGCATTGCCAAAAGTGTCACTGCATGCATTCTGTATATTGTAGTTCACCGCTCTGGGTGAAGAACCGCTTCTACTATCCAACCTAAACCTCCTGACACAACTTCAGACCATTCCCTCAGGTCCTGTCACTGGTCACCACAGAGAAGAGATCAGTGCCTGCCCCCTCCTGTTCCACTCACGAGGAAGCTGTAACTGCAGTCAGGTCTCCCCTCAGTCTCCTCTTCTCCAGGCTGAACAGACCAAGTGACCTCAGCCCCTCCTCATACAGCTTCCCCTCAAGGCCCTTCACCATCTTCGGTCCCCTCCTCTGGACACTCTCTAATACCTTTCTAATATCTTTCCTGTATTGAGGTACCCAAAACTGCCACAATATTCAAGGTGAGGCTGCCCCAATGCAGAGCAGAGCAGAACAATCCCCTCCCTCACCCAGCTGGGAATGTTGTGCCTGATGCCCCCCAGGACACAGTTGGCTCCTGGCTGCCAGGGCACTGCTGACTCATATGCAACTTGTCATCGACCAGGACCCTCAGGTCCCTTTCCATGGCATTGCTTTCCTGCATCTCATTCCCTGTTCTTTACCTACATCCATGGCTGCCCCATCCCAGGTGCAGAATCCAGCACTTCCCCTTGTTGAACTTCATATGGTTGGTGATTGCCCAGCACTCTATAATACACAACAAGAAAGATGGACTGGAGGTTTAGCTGGAAAGACCAAAATTGGTCTTGGCATCCTAAATCTGTGTTTTGTTCTGTTGAAGAATGTTCCTGAGCTCCCAGACACTACAGAGCACTCTCGGACTGACCTGTCCCGGGATCTGGCAGCCCTGCACGAGATCTGCGTGGCACACTCGGATGAGCTCCGGACGCTCAGCAATGAGCGAGGTGTGATGCAGGTAAGGTAACACCAGGCAGGGTTAGTAACCACATCACAGGTACAGGTGGCATGTCCAGAGTTACTCCTCAGTACTGGGATTCTTTTGTAGTATTTCTGTAGCAGTGTGACTGATAAACATTTTAAAATACTGGCAGGAGGTTATTAACTGTGAAGATAAATACTTAGTCCATAGTTTTGTTTCTTCATGCAGCAAAACCAGATTGGGGTATTTTTTTGAGTTTTCAGAGGAAGTTTTAGTTTCTGGCCTTAAACACAAAAAATTACTATATCCCAACAGGCTCTCTGGGTCATTGGTTTTCAGATCTTGGGTTTTTTTCAGTTGAGAACTAAATTAGCTTTCTTTTAATACCTCATTTATCCTCACTAGTTTGCCAGTACACTTGTACAGCTGTAAACTTGGCAAACACCTGTATGCTTTCTCTGCCTCCCTTTTTTTAAATTATTTTTAATATATTTAAACTACCTACTCACAGGTCTGATGGGGCAGATGCTGAAAATGCTGCTCAGGGAGGACAGTTCTGTTTCCAATAGCTAATGTGTGGTTTACTGACTCTCTCTCTACAGCATGTTCTTAAGAAGCTTTTGGCCATTACTGAACTGCTACAACAAAAACAAAATCAGTATTCAGTGTCTAACAACATCAGGTAGCAGCCCTCTACCTACATTCTGCATGGATCCAGCATGCCTGACATGGCAACTCCGACCAGTACCACTTTCTTCTTGCTCTTGCCAAAAACAGCACACCCTGTCACGTTCCCAGTGATGTGTGAACTATGCAAAAAGAAAACAAAGATCCTGCTGGTGAATAATTGTACCAGCAGCTTTTTTAAGCTATCTGTGCAGGACATTTGCACTTTTTTTTTCCACTTGGAAACAGTTTTCACAACCTCTGAGCCTTGGTGTAGAGTTCACCCTCCGCAGTGAAAATGCTGTGACTGTGTCTTGGACTTTGAAAATTATTTTCAGCACCTCTGATTGCCAAAGTTTTTGCTGTCTGGTTGGAAAACAACTATCAACTGACATGAGAAGAAATGTGTCATTCTGACAACCACCAATAACTGGATAACATTTCTTACTGTAATTTCTGAGTGGTGACAATAATTATGACTTTTGACTGTTTCAACCACTTTTAACTTGTATTTACAGTTTTCAGAATCTGATGTTATGGTAGGAACAATCTTTACTGTACACTTTTTATACCATACTGTTTCTCTCGCTGGAATTATGTGGAAAGAGAATATGCAGAATGGGTCTTGTCAGCTTTATTTTTTTGATGTGCCACTGATTCAGTCTGAATAGTTCTTCCATCAAGAACTGTATATCCGGATAAATCACAATGCTTTTGTAAAATGTTTACAACAGTAAATAATTTGAATTCAGTAAATTTATTGATCATTGTATCAGACATGCATGCATTCATTAAACCATTTTATAAAATAGGTATTGTTTGGTCTTTTGTGTACTGTAAGTCTAGCATAAATATTATTTTTATAAGTGAAAAATGAGTTTTTAAAATAAATCAAGCTGCGTATCAACTGTATGGAAACTTGCTAACTTTGGCTGCTGTGGAAATTTTTTAGTGTCTCTACATGTGGTGTACTTTAAAATGTTCACACTGTCACTTTTTCAGCATAAATCCTCAAAACAGCATTACCTTGTCCATACGCCTTAATTTGTACATGACAAGGTGAGAAAGTAGATGTTAAAACATCCTAGGTGGGTTGAGATTTAATAAGAAGAAATTCTTCCCTCTGAGTGTGGTGATGCACGGGCACAGTGCCAGGGAAGCTGGGGATACCCTCCTCCTGGAAGCCTTCAAGGCCAAGCTGGATGGGGCTGGGAGCAGCCTGATCTAGTGGAAGGTGTCTTTGCCCATGGCACTGCCACAAAGTGTTTAAAAAAATGAAAAGTAAAATATGCTGTTGATTCAGAGGGCACTGCAGCACATCACCATGTGCTACTTTTCTAGACAGTGGTCTAATAATAGGGCATAACGGGATGCTGAGATTCGATTACAAGACTGAGATAATCAAATAATTTTATTACATGAACGTTGTTGATACACCACTGGAACACCTACACTGCTGCTTCTCCTGTCTATCAGAACTGCTTTTTCAATTCACTGTCACATGAAATCAGCGACTTTACTTTTAGGTCTTTGCTGTAGTATTATAGTGGCTCTGCTGTGCTGACCCTGGTGTCCAGCTGAACTGCTTCCTTGAAATGAGTCCAGTGCTACAGCTGAGAGCTCCCAAGTGTTGCAAGTACTGCACTCAGCAGGCATAGATGATGCTCTCCATAGTGACAACACTCCTGTTTGCAAGACCTTGGTACCACAGAAGTCTTTTTTTAGATTGTCCCATAACCCTGTGAAGTCTGTATTAAACTGCATCTGAGAGGAGTAAGTAATTAACAATCTCTCATTCTGCCGTATTTAGATCTTAACAGAGTTTATAAAATGGATTATTTTGTGGATTGAGGTGGCTGGCTGTAGGCAGTACAACATGGTAAAAAAAAATTGTTGAGCAGAGAGATGCCTGGTTAATCTACCTGTTACATACAAAATGCAGCAAAGAAAATGAAACTGGACAATGCCCAAAGCTGTATATAAGTGTGTGTATTGTAGAACTGTTTATGTTTCAATGGGGTATATGAAAATGAACCAAATTAGTGGCTGCCATGCTCTAACACTACACTTCACACACAGCAAACTGTTCCCGAACCACAAATGAGTGCCAGATTTCTAAAAGCAAGTATTTCTTGCTAATACTTGACCTTTCATGGATGAGGGTTTAAAGGAACCACAACTAATTTTATTTTAACAAAGTAACAGGCTTTTTTGCCAAGATAAACACTGAAAGCATAAAAACTGTATGACACAGAATATAAAGAACCTGTGGCAGGTAGGGTCACACCTGGCACCAAATTCATTCCTGGAGGGGTAGGAGTCCATCTTCCTTTAAGGTAATGCAGAATCCACAAGGTCATCATCAGTCCACTCTTCCTAATGGAAGGGAAAAACACAACACCTTGAGCAATGTGTGCATGTAGTGTCCTGTGTGTTCTTTATGGTCAGAATTTAAGAACTCACAGAAGGATTCCATGAACAGAGGAAAGACTAAAAAATATAAGTTGTGGCAAGTCAGGCCTATAAACTTAAAGCTAGTTATCCATACCTACTCTTACATGGAGACAGTCATGGAGCACCAGTCTGAGGTTTAGCTCATCCTTCTTACAGCTATGTAGAGATCACCACCACAGCTCATACTGCAACCTCTTACTAGTATCTTGTTTTATGGCCTCATCACCTTGGAAGCTGAGTCACCTGTGCTTAACCACTACCTCAGTTTCCTCTATCTTTCAATCTGATGAGCCCTCCATACCAGTTCTGGCCTTCCTACTGATACTAACCTCCAGCTGCAAATAAATCATTTGAAACAATGTCTAGAAGTAGATTAAAACTGACTGTGCACCTGTATACTACAGTCTAACGACAGGATTAATGAAGCCTCGACGTCTGAGCAGTTTGCACCCACTATATGCTTTCAAAAAGTTAAGCACATTTTCTCTTTTAGGTCCTGGCCAGCTCAGATCTGCTCTTGCATGTGACAATTACTCAGAACTGAAACTACACAAGTACAAACCCTTGGTAGTTCAGATATGTCAGTAATGAAAAGTCCTGAGTTTAGGACCTGTTGGAACTGCATAAGAGCCTATCATGAAATGCTGTAGGCTATGTGAATTTATCCAATCAGGTTACTCCTTTGGAAAAAAAATTATGAATTAATAACAAGCTCCAAAAGTCAAAAATGCCTCAAATCTTAGAGCATATTTAATTCAAATTAAACTGGGGCAGGGAACCAGTGAAATCTCCAGAGCTCGTTTAGAGCTGTTCTCTATGTCACTCTGTCAGAAAGTGAAAAGTTTTGCCAGTGCCTGGCAAAACGGAGTTGCCTGTTTCAATATGTTTTTTAAGACTGGCATTTGGAGTAAACACTAGTCAAAGGTTTTATGGCATAGTTATAAAATATGTTCAAGGTTCCACATTTTCTTAGAACATACCTTCAATGCTGGTTTTATTATAATCTTGTTTAAATAATTTTTTAGATTCTAGTTTGACACTGTAGCATCAACCTACTATGATAACCTATAATAGCAAGACTCCTTGAATTATAGAAAGACACAAATTTTGCATTTTATCCTCAGATTTTGGCAGACAACCCTCTTCAGCCTTTAGCACATTTTTCTAAATGTCATACTCAGAGTACCTTTGACTGTCAGGATGTAGTGTCTTTAGTAACAAGGAGTCCAGTTAAACACGGTTCTTCACAACTTCCAGAATGGACTCTCTACAATTTCCAGTCCACGTTACAAACAAAACCTCTGGAACGTGGTCAGATCAGATGTGAAGGACTACCTTAATTCTGTTTTCATTTGCTGAGTCACCCTCATCAGTTTATCTCCACCTTTTTTACACTTGGTCTTATAACCCAAAGTAGTAGCTACCAAACTGTAATTCATGCAAGCCTTGCTGGCAAAGTGGCTGATGTAGAAATTTAGTCTAGCATCTGACTTCTGCTTTGAGCAAGAAGCCAAATAAAGTAACTAAAAATTTTCAGAGCACAAGAAACAGCAGAAAGGATGGCCTGCGTGTTCTTCCCTCTCCCCACAAAAGACTGAGATATATAAGAACACTTGCAAGCACAGGCTAGTAGGAAATATGGCTCACTTGAAAAAAAAAAAAAGTTGAAAAAGACTTGGTTTGAGCACCAAGTAAAAGAGTAGTACAGATGCATAAGTTTATCTCAGTAGCTGTGTCACTTTCATCTTGGCAGTTAAGAGTGGAAAAACAAGTACCTGTACAAAAGGTTTACTGACCTCATCCATTTTGGATTTCTTTGCAACATATTCATCATTTTCATAACCTTTCCTCTTCTTCCTAACCCAGATGAGAAGTGAAATGTTCAGGTATTTTTATAAGTTAGACTCTTTCTATTTGACCACAAGATTAGATTATGGACACACTTGTCACATAAAAAAACTACCAAAGCCTCAACAAGCAGCTTGCTCCAAGTCCAGTGTCTACTGAAGTGAAAAGGGCAGAAAAGAAAAATCAGCAAGTTCTTTGCCCTCCATATAATTCTTAAGAAAACATTAACCCTTTACACAATTCTTGTTTTAATCACGTGGTTTTAAAGGTTCTCATTGCATACAACATCAAGTCACCAGACCTTAGAAGCCACCCAGGATTCCAGTTTTTTTTAATCAGCCTGCAGTGCAAATCAGCACAAAAGAATGTATTTATGTATTACTGAAAGCACTATGTTGAGTTTTGGTTCTCAGCTCCCAGCAGACACTCACATAGCAAGCATGTGAACATTGTGTGCACATTTAGAGGTTTTCAATTTTCAATCATTCATATAGATAAAAAATTAATGTTCCTATACCAATAAAACCAGCAGAATTTTAACACATTGAAGATCTACTTACGGGTTTGTATTAAGTGCAAGCTCTAAGGTATGACACTTCTCTAATTTCTGTTTCAGAGCAGCAACCTCTTCAGCCCTTGGCAGTTCATATTTCTTGATGAGATTTTTCATGCCTACAATGGCAACAACACAGCTCTAAGCACATAAGTAATTTCTGCTCTGCCTTGTTGGGTTGGGTCTGCATGGCCAGGTGTTGGTAGTGGGGGGGCTACAGGGGTGGCTTCTGTCAGAAGATGCTGGAAGCTTCCCCTGTGAACAACAGAGCCAGTGCCAGCCAGCTCCAGGAGGTACCTACAATTGGCCAAGGCTGAGCCCATCAGCAATGGGCTAACAGATTTAAGGGAGGGGGTGAAAACCCACCTGTACAACAGTAAGTGCTGCTGGAAAGAGGAATGAGAATATGTGAGAAGAACAGCCCTGCAGGCAGCAGGGTCAGTGAGGAAGGAGGGGAGGAGGTACTCCAGGCACCAAAAGGGATTACCCTGCTGATGAAGCTCCTGATAAGCCTATGGTGAGACAGCTGTGCCCCTGCAGCTCATGGAAGTCAACAGTATGGAGATCCACCTGCAGCCTGTGGAGGAGTCCACTCTGGAGCAGGTGGATGTGCCTGAAGGAGGCTGTGATCCTCTAGAAATACCATGCTACAGCAGGCTTCTGGCAGGGACCTGTAGACCCATGGACAGAGGAGGTTTGCTGGCAGGACTTGGACCCCATGGGGTAGCCACACTGGAGCAGTGCATTTCCAGCGGACTGCACCCCATGACATGGTCCCATGCTGGAGCAGTTCATGAAGAACTGCAGCACATGGGAAGGACCAACGTTAGATAAGTTCATGAATGACTGTCTCCTACAGAGGGACACCACACCAGAGCAAGGGAAGAGTGTAAGGAGTCCTCTCCCTGAGGAGGAAGGAGTGGCAGAAACAAGCTGACTACAGTCCTCCTGTGCTGGAGGGAGAGAATTCAGGAGTGAAGCCTAGCCCAGGAAAAAGGGAGTGGCAGGGGAAAGGTCTTTGAAAATTTGGTTTTCATTTCTCATTATCCTGGCAGTTAATTAATTTTCCCCAGCTGTGTCTGTTTTGCACACAACTGTGACTGGTCAGTGACCTCTCCCTGCCCTTATCTCAGCACCCAAGCTTTTTATTATATTTTTTCTCCCCTGCCCAGCTATGGAGGTCACTGATAGAGTGGCTTTGGTTGGGTACCTGGTGTCCAGCTGGGGTCAGACCACAACAAGCTTATCAGCAGCATAGCTGCTGCTACTGCTTACCCCTCATAGCCAGGCTTGAGCCAACAGTTTTTCCTTTCTTCCCTCATTATAACTCTACTGAAACAAGTCACTAGCATCGCTTCACTCTGGATTTCCTCAAGGTAAACTCTAATAATGTAGAGTTCATGTTACTGGGCTAACAAGCTTCAAAATACACAGGGGTTTTTTGCATTCAGCACTGTACCTCTGTCTTAAAAAAAGACTGGTTTCTGTCTTGTTAATAATACAAGTAACATTTACAGCTACCTTTCAAGAAACAAGATTTTTTTCTCTATGACCAGCTTTTTGTAAAAGTCATTTACAATGCTTCACAAATTCCCTTCCAACCATCATATGTTTATGGAAGAGCTGCCTTTGGGCTAAAGCTACCTTCCAGAATAATGGAAGAGAAGACTAAGTGACCAAGTGTTCCCTTTGATCTCAGCAATGGAAACCTGAAGACTGAATCTGTTAGAAGAGAAAGGGAAGGGCACCTTAAGTTCTGTAAATTCAATTTAAATAGAATTTGTAGACCCTGATGACTTGTATGGTGCATTCACTACTCAAGTAAGCCTTGCCAAAGACTGAAGCTTCAATGCTACCACTCTCATTTTAAATGCATGGATTAGCCTAAAGCATCAAATAACTGATTACTTACTGGGAATTTCATATCCCCGCCTTTTCACTTAATTAAAAAAAGGTAATAATCAGCAGACTATATTCCTTATTAGCTAAACTATGGTAGTATTCTTGATATTTGTAAAATATATACATACACACACACACATACATATGTCTCACACTAGTGAAGCTAAGCATCTTTTGAATATGTTGATAGCTGCAAAACATAAGTGCAGCTATCAATCATTCAGCTTACAAAGGTACCCTCTGGTGGTAGTAGCAGTAATGTGCAGGCTTTGCCTGAAGCAGCAATTTTTAAGACACAGTGACTTGAAAAGTCATTTAATCCTGTCTTACAAAAACCATTATCTAGTTCCCAAAATAGATTTCTCACTTTTAACTCAGGTGCTAGTCTGAAAGCATCAGGCAGGCCATTTCTCTTTTCATTTATTTCACTTGTTCATTTTCATTTGTTTAATTTGTTCATTGTGTCTCAGTGTTTTCTCCCCTTCCATCCACATGATCCATCCACACTGCCCATGTTTTACTTACCTTATGCATGCCCTGAGGTGAAGAAAACCACTTGAAGCACACCCTTCTGCCTAAAGCTTTTGTTATTTGGAAAAACTTGATTTTTTCTTCTTTAGATACTCTTTATCATACTTTTCCGATGTTTACTTACATTTCATGTCATCTAGTAGTCTGGATAAGGTTGATCTGTTCTCTTTCAGCATAAGACTCTCTGACAAATAGCTTCAAAGAGACATAGAAGAATAAATTTTTAAAGTGCCATAATTATTTGTGGCAGTTACTATCTGTTAATAAAAAGTGTATTATTTATTATTTATATCTGCTAGAGCTTTATGATTAGACTAAGTAAGAACACTTCGGTTATGTAAGTGCTTTAAAGTGATAAAAAAGCAAATCTGTCACTGTAAGAACTTGACAAAAGTATTCCCCAGCCATGTGAGAAACTGAAGTTCCAACACTGCAGAATTCAACATTTCTAAATAAGCCTCACAGAGCTAAGACAAATTACGTTTAAGATTCTATGGTAACATCACACTATGGCACAGTATGACTATGGGACAAGCCAAAACTACAGAAGAGTGTTTTTCAGACTGACCAACAGACAACAGAGCTTGCAAGACAGGCCTGCTTCTTTTGGCAGCTAAAAGCCATTTCTAAATGCTGTCTTGTAAGAGCCTGTGGGTCCCTTCTTCTTCCTACTGAGATTCAAACTTCCTTTCAGTAAGAACACTAATACATGCACACACTGCCTGGGTAAAACCCCAACGCTCCTCACCAAGACTCACAACAACCAAGCAGTTTTATCCCTTCCATCATGGGAACGACAGGCTTTCAAAACCCTCCAGTGTTCTGTCCCACCTCTGCAGGTGCACCTGCTGACAGGTCCACAGACCCAGCACTTGCTTCCCTCATCCAGCAGCAAAAACTCAAGTAAAATAATAAATAACAAGGTTATAACAACTGCATAGGGCAGACAGGTCACAAAGACTTGAGTTCTTCCTGAACATGCACACCAAGTTCAGATGCCTCATTTCCCATGCTATCTACAAATTATTTTAGTACTTTTAATATTTAGTATTTTTGCAAACACGCTTTTCTGAATTTTTGCACTAGCAGTAGAGAATTACAGATCTAGTAAGGAAGGAGATCAAGTTCAAGTTAAAGTAAGCACCTGAATGCTTTTATAAAATTTTGAAAAGACAGTGAACCCTGCAGATAATACTCTTTCTTTTTGAACAAGAGAGATCTGAGATTCATTTAGAGGAGGTTTGTTTAAAAGTAACTAGTTTATTTAAAAAATAAGTGTTTGCATTTTGCATGCAGGTGTTACACTCAAAATGCTCACAGGCATGTGATTATAACATGCCAGGTACAGCTCCTTACAGGAACTACCTGTTTTTTCTGAAGAAAAGCATATGCTTTGTCTTTAAGAGAACCAAACCAAACGAACTACACATTTCAGCAAAGGTATGGAAGTGTTTGATAATGCCTGTGCAAACACCAGTGGCTTGGGCACAGAAAGGAAAGTGGGAACTGATTTAAAACAGCACCTTAGCATTAGTTTGTTTCCGTGGAAAATGAACAGTTGTACCAGCCAAATACAGCACTTAAGTTTCAGCATGCCTAGTAGCTGTCAGTTCAGTGTCATTTCAGTTGACTCTGGAACCTTAAAAATCTTACTTTTTCTTTAAGTGATTCTTAAGAAACTCAGTTGCTCCTGTATTTCCACTTTCTTCACCATAATCTTTAAGATGAGTCTGAAAATCCTATACTGTTCTAACTGAGGCAAAGTCATCAGGTTTCTTTTTTTTGTTCTTCCAAAGGCATATAATAACCAGACACCAACTAACCGCATTTATCACCTGCTTTTTGAAAGTGAAACCAACAGTACCACTACAATTCTGAAACATACCTAAAGAACATAACAGTGCTAACAATCAGTAAATACACAATTCTACTAGTTAAGAATGCCTGGAGCAAAATAATTTTATACAGGAACCAAATAAACTACTCAAATCATATCTATACAAAGAAAATACTACCTTTCCATATTAATTCCTGCTCTTGAACCACTAGATAATATGGCAGTGAGAGCTATCAGTGAGGGAGTAAAGAGCAGATACGCATCTGTCAGAGCCACTCGACTGAGGAAGTCATCAGCTGTTTTCCTCAAAACTTCAGGATTTTCCAGCACTGGGTATCGAGTCTAAAAAGTAATCATTTAGGAAAGTAAGTGGCTGCTCCTCCTTCTTGTTTGTGAGCTCAGAACACACAAAACAACAACACTTTACAGAGCTAAAAAGTAGCAGGCCTTCCTCTTTTTCCAAAAATAGCCTAAAAAGCTTAAAGACCAAAAATAAACAACCACCTTTAAGGTATTTGTTTATCGCTTTAGTAATTAGATCTTTTAAGATCACAGGTACAAAAGGAAATAAAGTTTTCTAACACAACACATGACAGACTTGTATTACTTTACTACACAGAGCATGAAGCACATCAAGCAGTTTTTTATTACCTTCAAATCGATTAGAAATCCCTCAAATGGCCGGTATGGATTGTGGACAATGAGATGGAAGTTCAGTTGCTGAATAAGCAGCAGTTCATATTCCAGTATTTGTTCAAGAGCTTTTTCCTGTCCAAGAGGGCTTTCTCGAAGGTTACCAACGAACTGTGCACTGGATACATTAAATTCATCTACTTTACAGGCCAAAAATGCACACGTTAGCCTTGAAGAGGGGAAAAAAACCAAAAAAGCGAACAATTGACTTATGGAGCATCGGTTCTTTTATCAAGAGTTCTGTTCACAAAACTTGTATCTTCAAAACACCATGTTCTGAAGACAACAAATTTTTCCAAACGGAAAGTGAAACAGACCATACTTTGTCTTTATGGCTATTTAAGCTCTCAGATTTCCTTTCTCCTTTTTTTTCAGGTCTTCACAAATATAAAAGATTATACTTCCAAAGTTCCACTTGGCAGAATAACTCAAGAAGTGTTGATAACTCACATTATTATCCGAGGATGATACTCCATCACTGAGTTATTGAGGTAAAAGCGTTTAAAATACATGCAAGCTGTTCCCTAAATTGAAAAAAATGGAGAGAGAAGAAATAAAAATGGATAAAGAAAAAATAAATACATTAGAAAAACGTCACAGATCAGGCAAGTTTGAATATATACTACAGGCATACAGGATACACTGGGGCATTAACACACACACAAAGCCATGTCATTAAATATTTCATTTATGCCAGCAATATGACAGCCTTACAAAATCTTCTCTTTTATTTTTAGACATATTTTGCAAGACAATGCTCAAAAACCTTAAAGTATCTTCATGAGAAAAATCTGGTATTCAAATGAAATTTAAAAAACAAAGACTGAAAAAATATTATACCAGAAGTTGCAAGCAATCCTAACCATTTGAATTTTTCGATCAGTAATTTCTGGAACATATTTATCAGCATGAAAACAGGTGTTTTCCAAAATCAGTGCTTGACGAGACTTTACAGGGGCCACTTCTCAAATATAAGTCTGGTTTCACAGAATGTGCCATGGCAGCTACTGCCACCTTTCAAAGGCATCCTCAAGTGGGGCACTCTTCACCACACCTGCCAGAGGAAGGGAGGGCTAACAGGGCACAAATACAAGCCATTCATCTCAATGGCTCGGCTTCAGCTGCAGGTCCCCAACGCTCCCTTCTGCAACACTCGCCTACATTCAAGACCAGTCAGTTCAACTATTTCTTTCTCCTTTTAGGTTACTTAAGTGCTAGTACAAACGCTGATCCAGCTTATTCTGTGGTCAGACAAGCAGCAGTGCTTGAGAACGACAACCCAAATGCAGGACTGCCTTCTTTAGCTACTGCGAGACTGCTTTACTGTATCATCGCCGTTTTATTGTAACATCAATCGTTACCATCGACCACCGACCATTACTTTGTTTCTACCCTTTGCTAAAGGGTACAAACCACAACAGTTCAAGTCAAACAAAGCAGTCCAGTCACCCACGCAAGTGTAGGAGCCACAAGCAGAAGATCACGTTGAGAAACAACTCGTTTTGAAATGGCTGCACGGCTCAGAAAACAAACAAAAAATATAAGAAGCAGGCACAGACTGCAATGCTGAAAGAGAGAAATTAGCTCTAAAGACATCCGCGGTCTCAAGAACAAGCCAAGCAAACAGTAGCAGGCGAAAGAAGGAGGGGGCCGAGGTGGACCGGTCCCAGCGCCGCTCACTCACCACCACGGACCGCGGCATCGCGGGCTTGAACACGGCGCAGAAGTCCAACAGCCGCTTC